TCTCTCCTTTCTTTCATTGAGAAAAATAAAGAAAAGGAAAACAGGAAGATATCAATGATGTGTTTATATACCACTTCACTAGAAAGTAAAAGAGTTAGATGAGTAAGGAACCCATTTACCATAATTCTAACCAGGATTCTAAACTATCCAGGATTTTTAGGTCATTTGTTGGGGGTGTAATATCATTTGTGGCATATCTATGGGGTAAGAAATGTATCTTTAGTGTTCACCTTTTTGAAGGATGAGATTCAGCAGCACATGCAAATGTTAACACATTCATTTTGAATGTCTGAACAGTATCTCCATACCCCTTTGTTCAGTGTTTTTGTAAGTAAGGGAAAGTGTCAGAATCTATCTAGGACAATGTGGGCATTTAATAGTGCACTTGGTAGTTGGGGCTGATAAGAATTTGTATCAAATGTGTGGAAATCCATAATTTCCCAACCCATGGCCTATGAAAAAGGCACTATGGTACTCTTCTCATAGAAATTCAGCCATGCAGACTACACAGCCGTACAATTCATACAATTCATGTATAACTACAGTTATACATGAATTGTTCAATCTTTGATTCTCCTCAAACAGCCTTTTTAGTTGTGTGTTCAGTGGATTTACACTATGCTGTGTTGGATCAGCCTGATCCTGTGCATGTTTAATCAAAAATAAGCTCTGCTGTGTTTGAAGGAGCTTTCTTCCCAAGTAGTTTTACATGCATAGGATTGAGTTCCTTGCCATTGAGAAGGAACTCAATGGCAAGGAACTCAATTTTCCAGGTACTACAGACTAACACTGATTGGGAGGAGTTCCTTTTGAATCTGCCAGACAGATTTCTGGGTATCTGTCAAGTATATTCACAATATTATGCCAAAGGTTCTTCTTTTCTTTTCCTTTTACCATACTTGTCTTGGGGGTGGTTTGCTTTCAAAACCAGGCACCTGCTTTATGGGTGAGCCAGAAACCAGGTCCTACAGAAACAAGATGCAAAATATTTCTGACAGGCCAATTAAAAACCCTATTTCCCTTGTTCAATAATGTCTGGCAGATAAAGTGGATCTCTTAATAAGAGACAGTGCTGGCTACTCTAACACTGGCTGAGAATCAAAGTAAACCCATCTGTCATATGTACTGCACTCTGTATTTACTCTCTTTCAGAAGCTTCCCCAAGTCTTTTCCTACCACAGGCACTGCACTCCTCAGTTTGTTTTCCAGTCAACCATTGAAACGATTGTTGGTCTCTGGACTTCAGTGTCATGTTTCTGCTTTCTCCAGCTCATCCATGCATCAGCTTTACATGATTTCTGGAAAAATACTATTTCCACCCATTTAGGAATGACTTGTCCTCGAAAATTGCTGTTAGTGTGATCATGTTTTTTTTTTTAAAAGCCACATACTGTCAAACTCTATAATTAAGTAAAATGATTCCTAACAAAAGCTGTAATAAATAGTACATTGTTGTTGCTGTTGTTGTTTCCTACTACATTACTGTTCTTAGTGGTGGCAGCAGCGATAGCAAAAGTTGCATCATGCAACCTTTCCCAGCATTTAGGTTGCAGTTCATCAGGATGCTTTGCTCTAAACTTTTCTGCATAACTGAGCTGAAGTGCAACAGGCTGGCTGATAAGCTTTTGCTGTTCAAGTGACAGGGTACATTGTTGTTGCTGTTGTTGTTTCCTACTACATTACTGTTCTTAGTGGTGGCAGCAGCGATAGCAAAAGTTGCATCATGCAACCTTTCCCAGCATTTAGGTTGCAGTTCATCAGGATGCTTTGCTCTAAACTTTTCTGCATAACTGAGCTGAAGTGCAACAGGCTGGCTGATAAGCTTTTGCTGTTCAAGTGACAGGCGTATGCTTTGATTTGCTCACTTGAGCTAGCTATTG